AGAGAGGAGCCATGGGAGAACACAATTCAGTAGGGATCAGGGTTCAAACACCAGCTTAGAAAGAGAAGAAGAGGAGTAGGTAAGCCGAGGGTAAAAGTTTGGAAGGCTAGAATAGGCAGGGGTGACGGGAGGTACATCCTTCCTTCGGGAAGTAATCAATGGCGCCCACTCAGGTCCCTCAACCATAATGGAGGGAACCATCAGAGCGTGTTGACGTTGTGTTCATTCCTGACTTGCCGGTGGAATAGGAACCGGACTGATGCTCCCCAGAATGGACATGGAGCCAAAACCACACGGTTCTGCATGTTAAAAAAAAAAAAAAAAAAGAAACCTGAAGTGACCCTCAGCCAAAAATTGCGTATATTGCTACCAATTTACTGAATATCACACCCAGGAATCATATCCGTATACAACCTCCAGGCGTGATTTTCAGGTGTGAAGACAGCAGTATCGTAATGGAGCTTTGCCCATTATAGATTCTACGTAAGAGAATCTTGGACACAATGGAGAACGAGCGAATTCCATTTTCTGTGAGAAATGCATGTTGCCCAAGCATCAATAAAAGCATTTAAAGCGAAGCATTGATGGTTGAGACATTTGAGAGACTCAAGAGATGGTATTAACATTAGCCCGCAAGTAGGTACAGTGATTGCATGTGACTGAGTCAGGAAGTGTTATTCGCCTATGCAACCTCGACGCTGTTTTTGGAATCTCGGTTATTTCACAAGCCATACACATTGCACCCCTGCATTGTTGCTATGGATTGAACAAACTAAAGATTTATGGTAATTAGTCTGATAGTCACTGTCTGGTGGAATCGCCACATAGACAATCAATATACCAGCACATCTGGTAGACGACTCGAGTGGCATCGTATTCAACCTCATTTGACTGGCTGTGCAACTGCTTTGTCTGTGTCAGAGTAAAGTCCTGTGCAAGTGTCTGTTTTTTAAGAACAGTTTGACTCCTCCTCGATGAGGTGCTGGAGGGATTGCACACAAACAAGCACAGACTCACAAACAGACACAGATTCAGACAAATGCTTGCATTCAGATGATGTGGCAACATAGTATAGTGCAATGAGTTTGGTTTACAAGGGAGAGAAGTGGTTTATGCCTGGTGAAAGTCCGCATTACCACCGGGGGCAACTCATCAACCCCCATGCCTTGTGAAAAGCTCTTCTCTTGCAGTAGCTGTTGTCGTCTTTGTTTCAGATGCTCATTATGTTTGCCTGCACAGAAAGAAACATATACCATTGAAGTTTGAACTCCGTATTCATAACAAATTAACAATTGAAGCTGTCAAAAGGCCTCCACTGAACAATTCTCACTCCACTCAAAACTCCTGGTTCAATTTTCTTTCTGCCGTATCATGTACATTGTTTCTCTCTCTTCCAGCCTTGTTTCCATGGTGTCAGCATCGACAGTCATTCTGGGCTTTGTTATGTTTTTGTCCTTCTCAAACTTGGACATGTCGGTCGAGTATGGGGAATAGAACTGTTAAACATCTACCAACACGTCTGGAGAGGTACTCCAATGATCCTGGTATGCCTCTAAACTTCTTCAGCAGCAGGCAATATGAGAAGAAATGATACAAGTCAGTAACGACGAGAGAACTTCACCACGCACTCAGACAAAAAAGATAAAAATAATGTACACATACATGATATGTATCGTCATATTTCTATATACACGGCATGGAACAATCTGGCAAAGAGTAGCATTAGGGCCCTGACGCCGGTGAGAAGTCCCCCAAAAAATGTCGAGTCTGTTCTGGGTTATGAACGAAGAATGGAGTCCGAAAACGGGAAGAACAAGAGCCAGAAGCACCCACCAATCCAAAAACTCTACCCCGATCCCCTACTGGTTCTGCCCTGATCCAACTATGGCGGCAGGTATTCCCGACGGAAAGTAGGAAACCTCAGTCCAAGGAGGAAGTTCGTAGACAACCCCTGTTTGGAAATCCGGGTATAAGAGACGACAGAAAGCACTCCTGGTCGCTTTCTAACAAAGACAAACAATAGTTTACCTGGGTATGAAGGGGGGTCTGGAAAGTGGACCACATTCGGGAGCAAGAAACTAATGACTGGATAACGTGTCAAAAACTAAGAGAGCTAGTCAAAGGGATATGTCATTTGGAGGACAACCTGCAGGCAATGAGCAGAAGTATAACCTCTTCATGGAAGGATCTCCTCTTAGTGGGGTTCACATGGAAAGCAGGGGAATGTGGGGTGCTAATCCAAGAGATGCCGCCCACAAGAGTGTTCAGATTCTCACACAGACTGAACAGAACAAGCTATGCATCCAAACTGTCCTCTTTTCCCATACTTTATGATCCAGCAGGGGGCGCCTCGTCCCTCAACACAGACTCAAGAGAGGTGACACTAGAGGTTTTCCGCGTGTGAAAAGTACGAGTGATTGGAGACAAACCTCGTTGGATCCTCTAGATCAATACACCCATCGAGGACCTAGAATTCAACCCAGCAGAATGGGCCTGGCTGAATCCAAGCAACAGTAGGAATAGGACCCCAACCCCTACCTCTGAATACTCAGTAAAACTGGGATACCGCATGTTGCTGAAAATAAAAGACCCAATGCTGGACTAAGATGCTTAACTCAGGCGGCCCACACGTGTCGAAAGTGCCTTGGAGGAAATACAAATCCATGAAACAGACAAAAATCGGAAGTCTACAATGTCTAATAACAGATGCGCCCCTTCCAGTAAATGATTGGCTATGTATAAGAAGAAAAAAATCAGACGCAAACAGCTCGGACAAATGTGTAGTCTGCAGAGACCAAGCCACAGAAGACATCGTACACTGTCTTATCAACTGTCAACACGCAACTGCCGCTTGCTCTGGGCGAGAGCAAGCGGCTTATGGTCCAAACTCTTCCTGTCCTCCCTCCCTGAACACCCACTGCAACTGCTTCTATGGACTCACATCCCCTCGCAGCTAACCAAACCAGAGAGAAGATGGTTCGGGTTGATAAGAAAGGTGACCCTGTGGGTAATTTGGAAGGAGGGCTGCAGAGTTACTCTCAGTAATACAAAGGATACACTGGGCAACGTATGGGCAACAAAGAAGGACCTGATCGAGGCAGAAATCAACTGCAGATGGAGGAGACAAAGCAGGGGAATTCAACGATATCCAGAAAGGAAACAGCAGACGAAGAGGCTCTTCAACTGGGAACCGTTGATCAATGGACAAGTGGCTTCAATTTGAGGCCACCACCTGATATGGAAAGACTGGCACAATTCGGTTAAACCAATCCCACAGCAACCAACCCAAAGGCAAGACGGTGTGGATCCAGCCTGGATTTAAAAAAAGGGGGAGTTGGGTACCCAAAGGAAATTAGTAAATTACGGTCAGGGACATGCAAAGCAGGAGCCATCTTCGGAACCAAGCAACAACAAATCAAGGGGCACAAGTACGACAGCGATCATATGGGGAACAAGGACAGAGGCAGACAACCGTCGGAGAGAGAAGGGGTTAACAGAGCCCTAAATTTTCGGGTTTTTTTCAGGGTCATTATAACAAGCGTCCCACACCTTTTAAGCCAGACTTGTCACCAGTCCATAGAGTGGACACCAAATAAACTAACAGCAAAAAAAAAAGTAAAAACATGGATCAAAAGGGCCTTAAACCCCAAGGCAAAAGTGTGCTTTCATGCAAAATTCGCTCTTTTCAGTTTTCAGGATTTTCAGCCAAAACAGTCATCTCCAAGACTCCAACAAACACCAAACTCATCCCACGCAGACCTTGACCAAAAATAAAACAGAGCCAAAAAAAAAAAAACTGAAAAAAAAATTCCCAAATGCACTTTTCAGCTGGGTGGGGATCCGGGCCGCCCAGCTGACTGGCCGGGGCCCGGGGGAGGTCCCGGGTGGCCTGGTCGGGCAGGGCACCAGGTTGGGGGCTGGGCCCCCACAGCGCACTCACCTGTCTGGAGGTCTCGGACCCCCTTTTCGCTGCTGTTGGCCTCCCGCAGGCCTACCGGGTCCGACCGCCCCGAAAAACCGTCCCGTCGGGCCCGGTAGGCCTGCGGGATTTTTGAAAATTTGTGACGGCTCTGTGGCCGTCAATTCACCATGATCGACGGCCACAGAGCCAGTGGATCGAGGCGCCAAACTTCCCCCCCGTCAAACCTGGGATCGGCTGGGGTGGTCTGCCACTCGCCCCCCAGCACGATCGGAGTTGCTCCTGCGCCGTCGCCCGTCGCCCGTCGCCATCACCATCGAGAGTCCTGCTGCAGCTGCTACGACGAAGGCCCCGACTGTCCTGCTGCTGCTGCTACGACAAAGGCCCCGACTGTCCTGCTGCTGCTGCTACGACGAAGGCCCCGACGACAAAGGTGCCGTTCTTCTTCTTCTTCTTCTTCTTCTTCTTCTTCTTCTTCTTCTTCTTCTTCATCTTCGTCTTCGTCTTCTTCGTCGTCGTCGTCTTCTTCTTCCTGTCGTAATCGTTTAGGGTTGTGTTGGACGGGCAGACGAAGGCCCTGCTGCTAGGGTAACTGTTGCGGGTAACGACGAAGGCCCCGACAAACTTTTTCTTCTTCTTCTTCTTCTTCTTCTTCTTCTTCTTCTTCTTCTTCTTCTTCCTCTTCTTGATCATTCGGAAGGTCACGTGAGATACGACAAGCCGACCACCTAACCCCCCTCTTCTTGGCTCACCATCTTCTTCTTCTTCTTCTTCTTCTTCTTCTTCTTCTTCTTCTTCTTCTTCTTCTTCTCTCCTCCTCCTCTCGTCTTCTTCGTCTTCCCCTCGTCCCCCTCACATTTTCATCTTCGTCAACCTTTCTTCTTCTTCGTTGTCTTCCCCTTCTCCCCCACTCGTTTTCTTTCTCCTCTCTTCTTCTTCTTCTTCTTCTTCTTCTTCTTCTTCTTCTTCTTCTTCTCCTTCTTCTTCATCTTCTAGTTCGTCAACATTCGGTAGGTCACGTGAGACACGACAGGTGAAAAACAAAAAAAAAAGAAGGCCGTCCTCCTCCCCCTCCTTCTCCGCTTTTCTTTTTCTCCTCCTTCTCTTCTCGTCGTCCTCGTCTTCTTCTTCTTACCCTCCTCCCCCTCGCATTTTCATCTTTCTCCTCGACCTTTCTTGATCTTCTTCTTCTTCCCCTCCTAACCTCTCTTCTTCTTCTTCTGCTCCATTCGCTAGGTCTTCTTCTCTCCTCTTCCTCTTATTCCCGTCCTTCCCTACTCCCTCCCTGCCTTTCTTCATACCCTACCGCCGCCGCCATACCCTACCGCAGCCATACTTCTTCCCCATCTTCTTTTTCTTCTTCTTCTTCTTCTTCATCTTCTTCATTCGGTAGGTCACGTGAGATACGACAGGCCGTCCACCTAAACTTCTCGGCTCATCTTTTTCTTCTTCTTCTCCTTCTCCTCCTCTCATCTTCTTAGTCTTCCCCACTCCCTCAGCATACAGTAGGCAACATACATGCAGAGCCCCCCAACCCCAGCACCCCCCACCCACCCCCCAAAACCAAAATTTTATTGCGGATTCGGGGTCCTCTTGCCGAGCGCAGAACTACCCCGTTTTCAAAACAAAAAAAAAATTCTGGACGTTTTTT